TCTTGGTATTATCATTACCCGGGTGATGCAATTTTATGTTATACCAAAAATATATTTTTGATTCAACCAAAAGAAAAATATTTTATATAGCATGTTGAAAAAAAAAATAATTGAATACAGCAATGTATAATAATGGGCTTAGCAAAATCAGCGGGGAAAAAAGATCCTGTTGAACTTGACTCTAGTTTGACATTGGGAAAAAGACATATTAGGGTAAGTGGGGGACGATTCGGCACAAATGGTGAAATACAACACACTACCCTTATCAATTTTTTCACCAAATGTGGTGGGAAAATTAGAATATATGAACCAATCTATCATTGAACCCAAGAATTATAGTAATATCATATACATTTTAAAAAAGCAACAAGGTGAGAAATTGCTCCTTATGTTTTTAAAATAAATGATACTCAGGCACCTGAGAATTATTTAAGGAAAGCTAATCTTGATGCAAATTATGCACGCATATAATACATTAATATGTCTGTCGTATATTTGCTCTAGGCAATTGTAAGCAGTTCAGTGATGCGATGCTAAGTAACCCAAATGGCTTGGACCAACCATCATCTTGGCAATCAAATTATTAAAATAAGATTTGTTTTTTTTTTTTTATATGAATCTAGAGAATTTAACCTAATCAATATATTTACATGATACCAAAAACCTTTATGTCTTTAATATGCTCGGTTTCTAGGTCTCTGGAAATTTGATTAGCTGATCATGCATCAATATTATAATTTTGTAGTATTAATGCAACATCTGAAACCATGATAATCGCTACATTTCCTCCTGGATAGACAGGCAAGTTTACCTATTCCATTATTCTTTGTTGGCTGCATGTGTACTTACTACTGAATGATAAAAGATGGATTCTTTAAAGATCTAAAAATATGAAAATGGTGATTACTTTATAGCTTGATTCTTCGCAAAATAAACTATTAAAAAGTGGCACATATACATACTTTCCATGTTATTTTTCTTGGAAATAATTTTTATTTAGAATAAAAAATTGGAAAAAAAAAAAAATACAAATAAATTTATACCGCCATACTTGCAAAATTGTGCATTCAAAATGTAGCATTGAATGAAAGCTTAATTAAAACTTATCCTTTCACTTAAGATGCTTAAATTCTTAATTGATTATTTTATTTATCTTGGATTTTTTTTATAATAACTTTTGGAAACAAAAAAATCAGAAAGATAAGCATCTACAATAGTTTTTAAATACAAGCTATATTTTGATAAAGGTTCAAATTCACAAGTTCCTTCTTTATGCATGCATACTAAAAATTCAATTGCTTTATTGATGTTAGATATTTGTGGTGATTTAAAGCTGATTTTTGACAATAATATTGGGATACCGTCAAACTCTGCCTCAAAAGCCAAATCATTCCAAGTATAACAATTGTTACAGATCAAAGCACGCTATATGTTTAGTGGACGGACTTTTTGGCAATTCATCTTTCTGTAGGTTGGAAATTGGATTAATATCAAAAAATTCAGGTTCGTTAAAAACAAAACAGTCAGTCTTACCCACCCAAAAAGAATATAGTTTATTTTCAATGCTAAATATAAAGGCATACTTTTAATGAAGTAGTAATCAACTAATTTTAATAGAACCTACCTGTTAAATATCTTTTTCTCACCCTTTGTTGTTTGGCTGTTAGTTTAATTTTTGACATTTACTGTTGCAGTAGTAGGGGTAGTTGTGTTAATGGTAATTTTGATAAAGAACCAATTCAATAAATATTAAATTTTATGGCTATGTGATTCACTCATGTATTTTAGAGGTTAACAACAAAAATTTTAAAATTACATAATGATTGAGCTAATATTATACGGGGAACAAAGTTTGTTATAAGAATTTGAATTTTTGAATTTTATTAATTATAGAAAGAAAATTGATGTCGTTATTGTGATAATTGTAATTTTTCTATGGTATTCTTGATGTTGTTGATATTGAAATTGTCATTACGAGTATAAGGAGTGTTGAAGGTGGTAAGAGGAATTAGGAGGAATGGAAGAAGTATTATTGTAGAAGTTATACTTGAATTACAGTCTATTTCCTCAGCAGGATTAATTTATGGAGTGGAGGGTGTCGTAGTATTAAAGTTATTTATATTTGTTGGTTGTTGAGTAGTGAAATTGATTCAATTAGAATCTTCTTGGCATTATTATTATTACCAAAGTTGATAGAAGAGAAGTAGTGGGAAATAGAATTAATTATTTCGAAAATAACATTTTGCTTAAACAACAATAACAATAATTCTTCTACAACTCAAGATCTTTATTTTCCAGGCCTCCGAATGTAATATGGTATCATTTTAATGAGATTTATTCTTTGAATTTCGAGCTATATTTGTTTTTTTTTTGGATTTAGTAAAATGCGATGCAAAAGATATAAATCTCTCTTCTGGAATAATACAACAAGTGATTTAATAAAATGTATATAAATTCACGATTTTTTTTATTTTCATAATATTAAATATCATTTAACGGTCTTTAACCAGTCTCGAGACTACATTTAAAAACCAGTTCTCTGAAAAAAGGTCTATTCTTTGGAATCGAAGCCAAACTAAATAGAATGAATCCAACACTACATATTGTCTACACGGCAACTCTACTCCGTGTTTCTCCAGACCTAAATGAGACCATGTAGGTAATATTAGTATTAGTGCAATATAAATAATACCTGTTTCGTATAAAATCAAAGACACTTAATAAGTGAAATAAATTGTGTACTATATAATAAATTTAATATATAGTCCTCACTCTGTCTCTCTTCAATCTCTTTAATATAAATTTTTAAATAGGTAGCTATGTATTTAATTATTTAAAACAAAATTTTAATTAATATTAAATTAATATTTAATCACCTGATTTGATGGTCTATAAAATTAGCATCGCTTCCATTCTCATTTTATATGTCACATATTTATGTTTTCTTTTATATCTATTATATTTATCATTTGGTATATAAGAATTATAGCATTTTGAACATATTATCTTGCTTATATTTGTTTAATTCATAACCAACTAGTTCAGCCTTTCCTTTTCCTTGTTCTGAAATATTTCACCACTTTGAGACATCTTTTCTATTTTTCAAACGGAACAAAAACCAACAGACGTTTTAGTAATGACTTGCAATCAAGGAATAAAATTTGTTACTTCAGAGAATGTTGAAGTGAAAAGAGTATACTTGTAAAATTTGAAAGGTTGTTATTTAGTGTACTTGCACCTGTCTCATAAGTGTAATCCGTCAGTCATCTATTCTAAAACAATTAAGAAATAGTCGATATAATATGTATAATATAAAGGAATGTCCACCATGTTTGCGAATAATAATGATCGCGTTCAAGAAAAATTGTGATTGGCAGGCTCCGTATTTAGTATATAGGAAGATCACCCACGTGTTTTTCGCGTTCAAACAAAACAATGTATTCTTCAAATCAAAGACAACAACGATTAAGACTTCAGCAGCAATAACAATTCACATAACCACAACAGTTTTTACAACCGTAACAACAGTTTTTACAGCAACAACAACAACAATTCCTACTTTAACAACAACATTTACACTTGCTACAATTACAACAGCAGCAAAATTATATCATAATCAACCACCAGTTATAAATTGCAATTATTTCAACTGCAATGGCAGGTACCATTACCATCACTATTACAATAACAATGATTGTAGCAATAGTAATAGTAGCAATAGTAATAATAATATTGGTTCGATTTTTGAGTTATTAAATGGCAAGTTGATCTCATTCACTCCAATTTTTATTATTACATTCATAGTAGCAGAGGCAGTAGTTTAAATTTTTTTTCGTTTATTTTATTATTAGTACACAATTATGAACAGTGATGATGATTAATGATACTGATGATAATTATACTGATGATGGTGATGATGATACTGATAATGATACTTGTGTAGATTCTGATGACACTCAAATCTAAATAAATTTTATTATTATTACAATTGATTAATTAATATACAATGCTTACTTAATTCCATCACCTAACATTTGAATATAATTTGATACATAGTCAACCCGAACCCCATTAATCATGAAATCCTGTTAAAATGAACACTTATTATACCGGAAGGGTCACTTGGCTTAAAAAAGACCACTTCATAACAGGTTAAATTCCTTTGTAAAAATCGGGCTCTCATCCAATACTTCTAGTGCTTGAACTAATAACTCTCTCAATAATAAAATGACAAATACCACAATACATAAATATTCTTAAATTGTAATATGTTTCACTCTTTGTGGTTACGTGGTGGAATTGCTTTACTGAAACTATGTCCTGTATCCTTTGTCAGTACTAAATGAGTTAAGAGGTAATAACGATTATAATAATTAATTAAATGACTTTGATACTTAAATGATTTCTACATAGTTCTTTTAATAATACCTACTTTTTTGTTGCTATTGCGTCAGAGTTTCTGATTTGAAAAATAATAAAAAATACAATTATTATTATCGAGCCCGAAATTGTACTTTTTCATCATTTGGCATGCCACCATTAGAAAGTTGTCAAAACTTTACAAATATAATTCTCGGCATACAGACCAAGCATATGCGCTGCCTTGGAACTTCCATTCAGATCACTCGCCATCTAGGCAATCAAATCTAACGCTTTTGTATGGCATGAAAATGTGATTGTGATAATTCGCTTTCCCTCTTCCACTCAATAAATATTCCATGAGCTTTTCAGATCAGTTAGCACTTCAAAAGACTTTAATCTTGTCATTTACATAAAGGTCAGCGGAAAACATTTCAAAAATAGTCTGGTGTTAAATTAGAAATAATTATTCCAAACATTTTTCTTTTCTGATAATATTTATCCATGTATACCGTTCCAGTTGGTTCTTTGCTTTGTTCCCTCACACTGTCGTTGTTTGGTCATTTTCTTTTTAAAAATGAGGACCGCTGATAATACATATTATAACCGCTAAGAAGGCATATTTGCAATTCTCATCATTTTCAGTAGCCTACTTTTACCTTAGCCTCCATTGGTTGGTCGAATATCTTACAAAGGTTTGCTATAGCAATGCTTCTGACCAATGTCATAAGTGACATTTTCTCAACATAAGTTACAGCAATGATAATGCATTTTTGAATGGTAACAGCAGATTTTTGTATTTCAAGAATATGATTGGTAATCAGAAAAAGGACCAACTTCGTGAGCAAAGGTGCCTTAATATATCATTCCAATTTGATGTTTTTTGTTCTGTTGATTTCTCATCTAAAGGTTCTACAAATTATTATTATTGATTTTTGAATTTAATAAATTTAAACCTTAATATATTTGGAAAAAATTCAAATGTTCATACTATTATGATATACATTAAATCTGACAAATGGCAATATGCACTATCTGTTGACATTTGGTACATAATTGTATCTTTTCTTATAAATTTGAAAAAGAGCTAATTGTTATTTCGTGCCCAATATGGATGTCAATGTTAACGTTAAGTTAAGTTTGGATGGAAGGTCTGTGTTCATTTCATTATGAAAAACCTTGTCAATCTTGACCAAAGAA